AGCAAGGTATGTTAAGTTAGCACCCCTATAGTACTCAGGAGTTCTAATTAGAGTTCCCTCTTCCTTTTGACGAGACGAAGAGTTCCCTATAGTTAATAACAAGAGTTCCGCTCAATAAACATTTTTTTTACATTTTTTAAAAATGGGGTGCTAACTTTTTATCGAATTTCGAGGTGGAATAGTTCTGAGCGGCTTAATAGCTTCAATTTGCGATTGCCTAGAGTTCCTGATATGTAAAAAAAATTTTCAAATAATAAAAAAAAATTGAAAATTTTTGAAAAATTAATTTTTAGATACAATAGTTCTGATGATAATTTCTGCTTCTTTTTGACGATACGAAGAGTTCTCTATGATTTTTAATGACATATGCGCTTAATAATCATTTTTTAATAATTTTTTAAAAATAGGGTGCTAACTTTTTAACGAAATTCAAGGTCGCATAGTTCTGATCAGCTTAACAGAAGTATTTTGTGAATACCTAGAGTTCTTGATATATAAAAAACATTTTTGAAGAATAATAAAGTTTAAAAAAAATAGTAGAAATCTTTGAAAATTTTTTTGCGAGTACCGAGTAGTTCTGAGTAGCGTTTCTTACAGTTCTCGACGAGTTCTATCGAAAACTGTAAGGTTTTGGAGTACCGAGTAGTTCTGATCGGAGTTCTGGATAGCTCTCGGCAAGTTCTGTCGAAAAGTATCAGGGCTCAAAGCGATTGGACCAATGGTTTCCGAGATATACTTTAAAAATTGTTGATCTTCTGACAAATGTCGCTGTATCTTACAAACCGTTGGTCCAATCGCTTATAGTTTTCGATAGAACTCGTCGAGTACTATAAGAAACGCTACTCAGAACTACTCGGTACTCTCAAAAAAGATTTCCACTATTTTTATAAACTTTATTATTCTTCAAAAATGTTTTTTATGTATCAAGAACTCTAGGTATTCACAAAATAGTTCTGTTAAGCTGATCAGAACTATGCGACATTGAATTTCGTTAAAAAGTTAGCACCCCATTTTTAAAAAATTATTAAAAAATGATTATTAAGCGCATATGTCATTAAAAATCATAGAGAACTCTTCGTATCGTCAAAAAGAAGCAGGAATTATCATCAGAACTATTGTATCTAAAAATTAATTTTTCAAAAATTTTTAATTTTTTTTTTATTATTCGAAAATTTTTTTTACATATCAGGAACTCTAGGCAATCGCAAATTGAATCTATTAAGCCGCTCAGAACTATTCCACCTCGAAATTCGATAAAAAGTTAGCAACCCATTTTTTAAAAATGTAAAAAAAATGTTTATTGAGCGGAACTCTTGTTATTAACTATAAGGAACTCTTCGTCTCGTCAAAAGGAAGTAGGAACTCTAATCAGAACTCCTGAGTACTATAGTTGGGGTGCTAACTTAACATACTCCCTAAGCGAACTAATAGATACCTGATCGATAAAAATCAAAACTCCATATAAATCGTACAATAAAAAAATAAACATAAAACTATTTCTTATCGTTAAATGTGAAATAAACAATGCACAAATAACTCAAATTCTTAAAAAGAAAGTCTGTTGTGCTATTGAATGAGAAAATTTACTAACAATGCATGCTCGAGCAAGTCGTAACCCGTAGCACAAGGTTTCGTGCAGCTGAAATGATCGCGTGCGGACGGAATCAAAGTTTACTGAGCTCGAACCTCGTTGTTCCTCTTCGGGAAGTATTCTTTTTCATCCTGAAAACTCAGCTAGAGAAGTTCTCTCTACGAACATGACTGTCTCGAATTCATTATGCCACTGGTCAGAACGAAAGGAGACACAAGCACGAAAGCGCAGCTACGATGAAAAGGAAGTGAAACAAAGGGGTGGAAAGAGAATGAAGGAAGATCGGAATAAATTTATATGAAATTCGATAATTACACGATAAGTTCAAAGACTTGGTAGGACATAATTACAATAAAAGAATCAGCTACACTTGCGTAACATAATGAATTTCTTCTGATCAATAAGACTATCTTATTAAAGTTATACTGCTGTCACGCGATAGCGACATTAACGTAGACGTTATAATATCATAATTATCAAAAGTAAAGTCCTTATAATGAGGAACAGTCATCTGGCAGTAATATCATACCGTTATGTTGGAATACTTTTATAAAGAAGTACAAAAGACTTATGAAATGATACATTTGTAATTATTAAACTTCTTTGGGAGATCAGATTTCAACATGTTGATCGAATTAAAAGCTTCATAGACAAAATAACGATCATGCGTTAAAACACGCAAGAACAAATTTAACTTTAAATATTCCATTTCCAACGTGAAAGAAAACTATAAAAAGACCATCTTATTCAGCACGTAATACTGACTCGGGTTTATTTGAAATTTCTACGAAGCCTCTATTTAAGCAGTAAATGTGTGTATGTTGTGTAGAAGACAACAATACATTCAAATACAGTACCAAAGTTGACTGAATCTTCGTTCTCTACGGGCTTCATTTCCTGAATTGTCCCAAAGGAAATATTCAAACAGAAACAGAAGAGTAATAAGTACCATAATACTACAAATTATATATATATATAATTGGTATCATGCTTTGTTTTATAAAAGCATTATATCCAATAAGTTTAAATTTTATATTTATACATATATAAATTAAAATATAGAGAAATACATAACATTTCGCAAATGCTTCTGATTATATATGTACATAAACATAATAGTAAATCTTCTAATTTCATTTAATTTCGAACAGATACTACTTTTAGATATTCAGATAACAAAAATGCGAAAACATAAAGAAATTATTGTCCAATCTCATTACCACAAAGTTAAAATTATCTTTCTTTAAATACTTATAAATAAAATTCTAATTAAAAATAATGATGTACCATATATAATACATGACCCTTATTTGCCTGATAGATTTTCTTTTATTTCTACTATTATAATTTATCTTCCATGTACATTATTTGCACAAAATGACCTAACGCATTGTAACGCTATGCACGATCTTACGAACACATTGTACTACAAATGCTAGCAACAACAGGTGAAGTCTGAGCAAAGGAAATTCACGATCTCAACTACGCAAAACGGTATACACCGTTTGTTAGCTACTACATACGTAGTAGCCCACATCGTGGCCTTGCTGTGAAAACAGTAATCAAACTTCGGCTCGTACAGGTCGAACAACCTCAACAACGTGGTTTCGCGTATGCTTAAGAGGCTGCTACCCCCCCTTTGCATCAGCAATCTCTGGTTACATTTCCCGCATGCCGACCATTTCCATGTGTTTTCCATCATGTGAAACTAGTAACGTGCTAATTCGATGGAATATACAGGTTTAAATTATAAATCAATCAAATGCGATGAAAATATAGATATGTGTGTCACAATATTAACCGAAGGTATACCAATACACCCTACAAGCTTAATAATCTGAGTATACGTTTAAAACAATTCACGTTTGTATACAAAAATATTTGTAAAAGAATCTCATGACATGCGAAAACGGGATCAATGCTGCAAGTTTACTCAGCGATGGCAAAGCCACCGTCAGCTTCTGTAACGGCCCTTGCGAGGGTTCCTCGTATTTCCTCCCTCCCGTCGTCGCATTAGTAAACTGCCTGCTTCCTGCAGCACTAACTGTTACCCCGTCTTAATGGACCGTTTACCTCGACCGACCGACTAGACGATCCACCGCCGTCAGATTACAAGCTTGACCGCCGTCGCTAACACTTGCTCAGACTGGCTCTCTCTTCTAAGGTACTACCTCGGACCAAGGGATAGCTTGATGGCTAGTATCGTAATGAATGCAGCTTAAACAGAAGCGACGAAGTCAGAACTTGTACTCCTAAGGTGCTGTCAATACTATCGTTACGATGTTGGTGCGATCATGAGAAATTTGATAACATATTGCTATCATACTGAAGACAGACAGAAATGCATTACTTTAACTTCATCTCCTAGTGGAATCGAGTCCTGACGTGTAACATGACAAATTGAGAAAGAGTATGTAGTAATTCCATTATCAAAACTGAAGATAGATCGATTCCCACATGTGCGATAGCAGAAAGTATCAGTGTTAAGAAAGCAATTATAAATATAATTTATTTATTATTGCCTATTCCTGTCTTATTTTTAAATTTAATCTATCTAATCTTTAATCTTTATCTATCTTTATATATACCCAAGATATTAAAAATTCAATATAAAAGTTAAAGATACAAAAATTTTAAACGGTTGTAATATAAAAAACATTATATACTATAACGTATAATGTAAAAATTATTATGCAAATAATAATGTAACAAAAAAAAGAGATAACACAATATCATAAGGCTAATATCAGTGAGTAAAAAAAAGTTAAAGTTTAAGAAGCGTACGATGCTTCGCTATATCAGGATTTATGAAAAAAGAAACGAAGTAAACGCGTCGTCGCTAGTAAAATGAGGTACGATAAAAGCAGAGCAGCCGAACCATTTTTGGCCGCCACCCTCTATTTAAACAAGAACAAAGAAGAATCGTCGGCGCAGACGCTGTCATCGAACGACGCGTATGGACTCGAATCGATGTATAAGTATATGTTGAAAATAGATAATGTCAAGCAGCATTTTAGCTACCTCTTTTAACACGGGTCGATGTAAGATATTTTCTCCCTTACTCTGGTTTCCCTTCAAAGAGGCACAGAAGCATGTTATAATTTAGTTTACAATGACGTCATAACTTCTTGTAAAATTCGATTATCGATATTACAGCAAACATTTCAGTTGCTATCACATGAACTTTGTTTCTCATAATAAAACTATTGTTTCGTATACTTCAAGATTTTGAGAAAAATTTAAAGTTCTTCTTAGAATGTTAATCTTCCAAGACCGAAGAACATCATATTCCTCTTGTACTACCTATTTTTTCCAACGATGATATCAATTTTATTTGTAATTTATTTGTAATATAAAAAATATTAAGAAAAACAAAAACAATCATCAAAAAAAGGTTATCTCTCTCGTTTTACATAATGAACTTGAATTTTTTTGTACTCTTGGAAAATTCTCGCTTCAAAAAGTCGTTTCATTTATTTTGAAATGTGTGGAATTACGATAAAATAAATTTGTAAGAGCAGAGAGAAAGGTTAGTTTAACATGAAAATATTAATTTTGACAGTGGATGAACACTGATTCAATCACATTATTATGTCATATAATCGATATCATTTTGATATGAAATAAATCGCTTCGTCGATATTTCATTTAATGGCAAGCAGTTAGCAATTGATATCATCGTCATAATATAAATCGTTTAATGAAAAGTGATAGCCATGAATAAATTGGCGCATATATTTTTAGGAGTGAATACAAAGCTGCTCCATATTCCGAGCTGCGAAAGTATCGCTATTGTTCGCGATGAACCAACCAGGAAGAAGAATAAAATTGTGGGAGCATTTACCGTCATTGATGTTACGTTAATGAGGAGACTCATATTATTTATCAAGCACGTAACGATTCTTTAATGGATTTCTAACAAAAAAGGTAAAGAATATAGGAAAAGAATAATGAAACGAATGTTATTCATCAAATAAGTATGTGTGAATAAATACAACTGATTCATAAAATAAAACTTCTTATTAGCAATGAAAACAGAGAGATACTCTATCATATAAAACTTTAACTTGAAATAAAAAATACAGAGAATATAATAATCGAATAAGTAATTATAATTATTATGACTATTGAGTAATAGTAATAATCGCAAGTTATAAAATAAAAATAATTAATGCACTTCTCTATTAAAAGACACATTTTAATAGTGTTTTGTACACATGTAACACTTGATGAAAATGAAAGATAATTAATTATTCCCGTTATATTTTTCTCAATCAATAATATTATATATTTGACAAAGGCATTCGATGAAGAAAAGCGTAGAAACGGTATTACCCTATTTCTAGATTGCTGTTTGGCAAGCATTCTTCAGACGTTATTCGAATCCTTATGCGACTCACGTTTTATCGGAGAATATCCTGTATCGAGAAGTCGGCGGCACAAATCTCTTCAACACAAGGATTTTTTACAAAAGAGTTACCGCTTCGTTACTGAACCGGATTTGGAAACTAACGAACGTCAGTTTTTCCGTATGTATTCCTTCGTAAAATATTCTTTCTACAAGCAATCTTAGTATCTCTACTTCATATATGTAAATTCAACAACTACAATTTCAAATTAAATTTCATGTAAATTTATGAGCAGTACCGACTGTAATTTAAAAGTGTAAATTTACACGAAAGCTATTCTAATTGTAATCAAAAAATATAAGAAAGTTGTCAAGAAGTATACATGAATAATTTAAGCAACTTACATGTATACAGTTTTTCATCAATTTATTTCTTATTGATACAATTCGATGAAACATAAAATATAAAATAATTTTGAAAATTACATTATTTACCATATTTTCAAAATTTTGAATCGTTTTGAAAATATTATCTTTGTTTATCTTATTTCAATATATTGTAAATTATTAAGTGTCCTTATTATATATTAAAATTTCTATAAATGTTCTTTATCAAATCAGGGACAATTTCGTTATAGGACAATTTTAGGTATGGATAAATATTGACGAAACTATTAGATTATGTTTCACATTTTCCACACTTCTAACGTCAAGATCCAAGATGGTTGAGGCAAATATTAGAAACTTTGCAGCCGATAATATACACATTTTAAAATTTGCAAGATATAACCTTCTTTGACCTTTTGATCGATCGGTGCTTTTATCGCTGCCGTATCAAGCATCTATTTTAAGGAGGCAACAAAATGCATTTGAAGAGAGACTATTTGCAATAAATTTACGAGCGAACTTAGATACTGATCCTCGTGAAAAGCATCGTCGATCTCGGGACGATAGACTAGACTTGTTAACTGGGAGCCTCGAACATAGAAAATTAGTAGTCACCACGGAAACGACTGAATATATATTCAACCGCGGTGATCCCGATGAAACTCTGATGACTCATCGTACCAATGTCCAATCGCCTTTCAATCGCGATCTCACTGATCGAATAATCAAGGGAGTCTGTCACGCACGAACAGTCAAGAACAGTGTAGATAAAGAAAGAAAAAAAAGAAAAGGGAGAAGCATTGCATTTTGCACTTGTCTCGAAAGCGGTTAAAATTAAATGCACCGATAAATAAAAGTTATAAACGAGTAAATTGCAAAACGATTTTTCTGCGTAAAAATTTCTTTATGTGCTCGCGCAACAAAATGAAGGAAAATCAGGAATTGCCATCGATTGACTTTATAATGCAACTATATGTAATTTACGGGTTGCTGTATTTTCTCGTTCTTGTGTTCGACTATTTTTTATGGACGAGTAAAAATGTTGGCTTCCCCCTTTTCGAAATTTCATCAATAAATTAGGCGGGCGAACAGTTGCAAATTTTGAACTTTACTATTTCTATCGAAACGTGATTTTGCAATATTTATCTATCTCGCGATGATGGAGATATTGTCATTTGAATAAATCACTAACTAATGTACTCCTCGACTTATTAATTGCATTTTACTATAAAAGAAACTGTTATAGAGTTTAATAAAATATTTCAGTAGAAATAACCGTGCCGTAAATAAAACTCTGTTGTGTCAACGTCAGAACTACGAATTCCGTAAACTACGTTTCCTCGGCTACGTTTTTCAGGTTGTATCCGATTTGCGCAATGTATGCAGGAGCAACGCGAATTATTCATAAAGTTCCTTTTGACGCTTGAATGAAATATAGTGCAGAGCACAAATATTACAGCACGAGTACACGTCTCACCCATTTAGCATAATCTTCAAAATCTACGGTAAGATATATTTACCGCAGGAAATTAAATTGTCGAAGAAAATTACTTTAATTTGTAATAAGAGAAGAACACTCATTTACATGTCAATTATATCGATTACATCAAGCACATCGATTGAATCAACAGTATGTTCAAATAAATACCGTCGAAATAAAATTCTAAAAAAATTTGAAAAAATTTATCGCAAAACACTTTTGCAAATTTTAGTAAAGTTTAAAGCGTCAAAATGCTTTCTCTCTTAATCTATATGTATAAAAAGTACTTCTAAAAAGAATTTATTATCATATTATGACATAACTTGATTAGACCATAATATATTAATAAATAATACATAAAAACTCATTAATATAAATATAAAGATCTGTTTATAAAAATATTAAAAACCACGAGATTACTTAAACAATTAGAAAGAAAACATTGAAAAGAAAAAGGGATCGAAATAGAACAATAGAGAATATAACGCATAAAAAAGGGAATTAAAAGATTCACTAGAGCAACAGTTCAAACGCAGTTGAGATGTCGCGTCGCAAGAATCTATACCCTCCATCTCAACCTAGATGAGAAACCTTATTTCTGTGTCGAATTGAATCATCCCTCCTCCGAGAGTGCAGAATGCGATCGAGAATAGAATGGAGATGGGATATATCCAGCTTTTACGTGAGATGCAGCCATATAGTTGGCTCAGCCGATAAAAAGAACGTCACGTCATATATCATTCGATAACTATGCGATATGCATTAATTCCCACGCTTTAGAGTATAGATATATTGATTAATTACACTTCAAAAAATAACGAATATATTACAGTTAACTCTTCGTATATAACGTTCGAATATTTACTTGCTGAGAAATATTCATTCATTAGATATTAATATACTGCAAGAATTTACTTTGCACAAATCTTGACTATTTTAATGAAATTCGTAAAAGTATAAAAAATATATATTAATTTACTGAAAATTTTGTATCTTTCACATTCTAAAAATTATTTCACTCGTTTAACCAATCATAAATCAACGTGTCACATCATAAATCATTTTCTATAAGCGAAATCAGTTCAAAGATCAATAGGAAACAAAACTAATTCGTAAAGAATATTCTTTGACGATGCAATAAAACTTCACGGTTAACTTCCATCTTATCAGTTCGTGCTATCTTTCTAGTCTATCATGTACGTGAACAGAATGTAATATAATACTATTCACCACTCACGTATTCATGTATGCGTCCTGTCGTACTGTGATAGTAAGAATCATACATATGTACATTTCTACACATGTACGTACATATATATCCAGAAAGTCATTTGTCTATCTTCGTAATCGTGTGTTTTGATCACAAAGCAGATAGAACATTATGTCTAACTTCGCGAATATGTTTCTACATTTCAATACGCTGTTATAATACTGTTACAAGATCATAGAACAAAGAATAGCCATAAGACAATAGAATACCGTAAAATAGAGTAAATTTAGGTAAGACTGTCTTACAGAAAAGATGACCACAGGCTTTTACAATAACTACAAAAATGTTGTATTTAGCAATTGTTGGAGAAATTACGGACTATGACAATATTTTCCGTATGGCCATAGAGTTCGCCCTATCATGCTTATTTTACATCGTCATTTTTTGTTAACAAAAATTCTAACTCAAGCAGATGTAAACGTACTAAATTTAGAGAGAAATATATCAAAGAGAAAATACCTGCTTATATATATAATATATAATTAAAATCGGTAAAGGAAATAGTAAAGGGGAAAAAATATTTATAAGCAAAAGAAAAACACGAAGGGACAATAATTCTTCTAAAGAAAAAAGATGAAAAATTCCAGACACGATCATCTGTAACAATGAGCGATATTTAATATGTATGTCGCAAAATATTCACGTCCCCCGGTGTTAATAAACACGCTATAAATAAATGGAATTAATATTCCCGTTCAAGTGGCCGAGCGTGGAATGAGTTTCTCGTACTCTCAAGAATTCATGGCGTGCTGAACGTGCGATTCGACGAGAGAGGATTTCGCCCGTTCGATAGGGAACCGACGATGAGAAATAATAGAGGGTCAGCTGCGCGCAGCGGGGATGTCATCAGCAGTCGCGGCATAAAAAGCTACCTCTCCCATACAACATCGTCGTGCAATTAGCACGGCGTCAAAAGAGTACAATCCCGGCGTCAGCGCGCAACATGTTGTGTACAACAGCCTCCAATATTTCTCATTGATCCTCCTGAGTTACACACCGGAAAATTGTTATCCATTTAATACGATATATGATAAAAGCGATTTTAGACGCGCGTATCGATTTTGTAACTAAACCAATAGCGGGTATCTGCAATGATCTGCAAAAATGCAAAAATAATCATACAAAAATAGAAACTTCGCAAACATGCTTCCCTCTTTGCGTTTACAGGTAGCGAATTTTGGAACAGCTACATAAAAAATCGATATTCCTTCATTTACCACAATATTCCAATCATACATGCAATAACTCACGAAACTGATCAAACGTACTGCACAACAATTATTATCTGTGAATGTCTACGACTAACCGAAATTTAATGAAATCATATAATATAAAGTTTTTACATCAATATAACATAAGATAAGAAATATCTATAATTTCTTCATTATAGACATCTTCGTTCATGAATTTTCAAATAAAGTTTCTAGGACTCATACAATTTCATCAGTTTGATATGTTATCATATATATAATTAGCCTATTATTCTATTAATTACATTCACATGTCATAATACCGCTAAAAAAAAGTTAAAAAAATAGATTTATAAAAATATATTGCATTCGTTAAAAGATCAAACTTTTATTAGAAAAAGTTCAGCTTAATTTATGTTTATTAAAAATTAAAAGCTCGATAATAAGAAGGAAATACAGAAACGTAAATGTGCCAGCTAGTTCATTGATAAAAATTAGGTAAATATGCATTTGACTTACGTACAATATTAATTAAAGCAGCTTTTTATAGAATTAATGTAAGTCTGGCTATTGTCATCATGGTTTATAATGGATTCAGCTAATCAGCATGAATACGACTAATCGGTAACGTGAACGAGGCTAATCCGCTTCAATAGGACGAAATATCGCGTCTGATTCCGCGAAAGCTCACGATCCTAATCCGCTTTACTTCACCGTGAATACGATCTACACCCGAATAAAATATATGTCGCACCTCATCTATCGCTTTTCTCAACTGTGCATCAGTATCTGTTAGCTGTCCACATAATGTTACGGTCCATTGTAAAAGAAACGTGCGTACGTTCCTTTCGATCTTTCCTTTCAAGTTTTATTCTCAATAAAAATTATAGTCATTTAATATACAATGTATATACGATAAGCAAAACCAATTTTCTCCTAATAATAATATACAATATTTTTGACATGTAAATTTTCTGTTAAAAATAATATAAATAAAAAAATAGCATTTTTTAAATGTCTTACGATCATTTTAGAAGCTAATAATACAATAATTCGCTGAAAAGCGATACTTGCGATTAATATTCAACAAAATGTAATATAGTTTAAAATTATTTTAAATATATTATACATATATTTTGTTAGTTATATATCTTTTATATAAATAATATACATAATCTCTATTCTTTATACATATATAATGTTTTCACAAGAGCGTACTTTATTTCTATAAATACTTAGTCGACTAAATCATACAAAATAGACATTGAAATATTCTCGATATCCTTCTACGATTGAAATGGGTAAATTCTATTACTCTCGGACACAGAGAAAAACCGAGATAGAGAGAGAAAAGAAGAGAAAAAGGGGGGGAGAGAGAGAGAGAGAGAGAGAGAGAGAGAGAGAGAGAGAGAGAGAGAGAGAAGAAAGAGAGACAGAGTTCGAGGCATTGAGCAAAATGTGCGGATTCAGTCGGCGGATGTTACGCGTTTGCGGTAATACCGACGAAGAATGGATCTATAAGCGTGGCCCTGCAAAGATATGAGAAGGGTAGCGCGAACTGACGGCCCATCCACTCCGTGAGCTCTTCGGGGAGCCATAAAAAAGCTACCCACGTAGATTTTCTCACTGATCGATTATTTGCAGGAGGGAGTCGGCTCGACAAACTCTAACTTCCGGGATTTTGCATCCGCAAAATTCTCACACGTGCTCATAATGCAGTGTGAATATGTTTATTAATATAACAAGCTTGAGGATAATATTGTGTGAAGTTTCCGTTTGGCATAATTATTGTAATAAAAATATTCTGTGCGTCTATACTTCTAAATACGTTTTTTTTTAAACAGAAATTAATTAAAGAAAGAAATAACAAATAACAAATTGTTTTAAGTTATTCACGACTTAATAAGGAAGACAGCTTTTGATCTATGTTTATCCATGACCACTAAAGTTCTGCATAATTTATCAAGTAAAATTTAAACAATAAAATACCTTAAATAATATTAAAATAAGAGCGGAAATGGAAACTTAGATCGCAATAAATATATTATAAAATAATTTACATCCGACTTAAATACAGATTGTTAATATGTGGACGCTTTCAAATTATTGTAAACTTAAATTAAGTGCTGTTTAGTAGTGACTTGGTTCAGTAACAAAGAGACAAATTGGCAATTCTTAACTT